TTGGGTCACTGCTCCCTATTTCAGACAGCAATAATGTGCCATAGTATATAGAACCCACATCCCTCTCCCATCAGTCTATGGAATTCAGAACAATGAGAGACGACTGTTGGTTGGTTGCTATGGTTTTACTGCATATTTCACCTCCTCAAACATGACGGCTATTTAATACAATGGCACCAAGGTACTAATGTGCCACAGAGCAGACGATGGTAAAGTGTATGTAAACTCTAGCGATGTGTATGTAACAGAGTGTAGGTAAACCCTAAAAATCCAAAGTTATCAGTGTGTGCACGTAGTCAGACCTGTCCAGTTCAGCTCTGGAAAGTACAAAACAACTTCCTCGTTGTTATGAAGATAAACGGGTTGTTCTGTAGTCCTAACACACATCCTGTCATAGGGTGACAACGCTGTTCTTTCATATATACAACCCAGAGAATTAAATGTCTGTACGTGTATTTTCCCTTACTTCTAATGACTTCCTCCTTTTTTTCTTTTTTTACCAGTTAATCACCATATAGTTGGCGAAATGTATAAAATTTTGAGCTGCCTGCCGCTGGGGGATATAAAGCAGCTGATATATCTAAAAATGGTTAACATAAAAATAAACTGAGGTGAAAATTGATACAATGCGTAAACCAAACAAAATAACTGCCAATCATAACGATCATCTAAATACATCAGAACAAATATATCAAAAAATATTCATCGGGGAATAAAAATACATCAAACTGTCACAAATAAATCATTAATGTTCATTTCTAAAAACCTCAAAATATTATAATTTAATAAGTCCATATGTGAGAAAAAACTCTGAAATATCATAAATAAGCTAAAAGTGTTTAGATTTAAAAAGTGATCTCTCTCTCTTCTCTCTCTACCCCTCTCTCTCTACCCCTCTCTCTCTACCCCTCTCTCTCTACCCCTCTCTCTCTCTCCCTTCTCTCTCTCTTCTCTCTACCTCTCTCTCTACCTCTCTTCTCTCTCTCTCTCTACCCCTCTCTCTCTCTCTACCCCTCTCTCTCTCTCTACCCCTCTCTCTTCTCTCTACCTTCTCTCTCTCTTCTCTCTACCTCTACCTCTCTCTCTCTCTTCTCTCTCTACCTCTCTTTTCTCTCTCTCTCCCTTCTCTCTCTCTCTTCTCTCCTCTCTATCTCTCTCTCTCTCTTCTCTCTCCCCTCTCTCTCTCTCTTCTCTCTCACCTCTCTCTCTCTCTTCTCTCTCACCTCTCTCTCTCTCTCTCTTCTCTCTCTCTTTTCTCTCTCTCTCTTCTCTCTCTCTCTTCTCTCTCACCTCCTCTCTCTCTTCTCTCTCACCTCTCTCTCTCTCTTCTCTCTCTCTTTTCTCTCTCTCTTCTTCTCTCTCTCTCTTCTCTCTCTCTCTTCTCTCTCTCTCATCTATACAAGCTATTCATGATGTAATCTTGCATTCCATCAACCTTCTTGTCCCTTCATTCAGTCTCTTGATACCTCCACCCCTGACCCATTGACCCAAACCCAGAGTATCAACACACGAGCCAGGGAACCGGCATTTCCAGAAGAAGGTCACATAGGCCTACTTCATAAATTGAAGTGACACAAAACTTCTGGAGGGGGGCTACTTGTGTTCCCCATGGTCCCTGTGTGTTTTGTAAAGTAGTCACCGCTCCAAGCTCGCTCCCGGGCTGGACTACAATCTCATGTTTAGTTTACTCATTTGTATTGAGATTGTAGTCCAACCCGGGAGCGAGCTCGGAGCGGTGACTACTTTACAACACACACAGGGTCCATGGGAAACAGACGTAGCCCCACTCCAGGAAGGAAGGACAGTGTCGGCGCCAATTCAGAGATGATTGGAGGATCTACAGCCGAGTGACACACAAATAGGATACATTGTTGTTCATAGTTCAGGGACTTGAATGTATTTTTAAGATTTAACTCCGGAGTTTAGTGTCACGTTAAGAAATATATTTAGTAAAGCTTTGCTAAGAAACATGATGATGCTGTAATCCTCAACAACCAGATGTCAGTTACTGCAACCTGATGATAATTGGGTTTTAAGGGGTTAGATCACTTTTTATATTGCGGTTTGTCTGGCTGAATAAGCCCGCTTGTGGTTTAGGATGAGTCTGCGGCAGTTTGGAAGTTAAGGTTTCCAAGCGTTATGTGTTTAAAGGCAGTAAAGCTATTCCCAGCCGAGGGACCCACTTCACAAAACATTCACAACTTATTTCCCCAGCGACTGCACCACTGATACTGGTTGTACAGCATCTTTCAAGCT